CATTTTCGTTTGGAGGACATTCTTCGTGGGGCAAATCTTCTCCGTTGTTTTCACCACCATCTGGCAAATCCACTTCAATTGCAGTACTTTTATTTACTACAACACAATTTAATTTTATTAAAGGATTACTGCCGCTACCCAAACAAGATGATAAATTTTGACCCATTTTGTGTTTGTTCGTGCTACGTGACAGACAAGTAAAAAAATGGGAGACACTGTAATACACATAACTTTATATGTAGAAAATGAGAATGCTACATCCCCAAAAAAATAAATACAGGGTAGCATACTGTGTCGACGACAACGACGACAATATATTATTTTCAACGCACCTTTTTCCTGAATGTGTTGCTGATTTTGCCCAGGGTAACATCACTATAATAAAGCTTCTTCCTGGTCTATTGAACACCAGACTGAATGACTTTATTCAGGAGTACGACGTACCACGTCATGTTCTGTCAAAAATACAAGCTATAATTAATTATATAGAAAGACACATAGACATTTACGCTGGTGTTGCTGTGGTGTATAATGAGTGTCCCTAGTCAACGACGTCGTCAACGTTTTATAAGAAATTTTTTGAACAATTTTATAGACTGTCCCCGCCAAACCCATAATACTCAAAGTATATGTAAATCAAAACAATGTATATCAAATACTATTCACGATAAACGATGTCGCAAACGTACCGCACATACTGAAAAATGTTGGATACATTTGGCAAAATACGACAATTTACATATTAAACTGTCTAACATTATTTCTGGTGGGAAGGGATTATTTAGCTGGAAACAAACCATACCGCGGGGGCGCATAATCTCAAAGTATACCGGACAGAAACAAACAAAAGCTGAAATTGATAAAAAATATGGCGATAGTGTTGCAAAATACGCATTGTGCAATCGCAAGGGTTTTTCTATAGATGCTAATCATAGCACAGATGGCACACCACGATTCGCTAATGATAGTTGGGGTACACCCTTTCAAAACAATGCAAAAATCAAAGGGCAAAATGTTTTTCGTTTAAAAGCCATAAAAAAATCCCTCCTAACCACGAAATATTCACATCCTACGGTAAAGAGTATTGGAAATAAAAACATTATATCATTTGTGGTTAAACGATGGTCAACTACGCTGTTAAACGGGTCCCAGCAAGACCTTCTTTATGCTACTATGGGGGAAAAAGCAGACAAAGAAAAAATCAATCCGGAGGGTCAATTAAAAAGGATGTTGGTGACTATATAACAAACTTTTGGACGAATTACAAATCAAAACAGAAGAATAAACTAAAAAAGCGTGCAAAAAGAACTAGCAAAAAGAGTAAAACGGTTGGGTACAAATCTCGAAAACGATTGGCTTGGTACACAAAAACCAAAACCTCAACAGGGTGGGATACCTGTAATTTATCAATATCATCAATAAGTATTAATAAAAAAGTTATCTTACCCTTAATATATGTCTTTGTCCTTTTCTTTCATTTACACATCCTTGTCCTTTAAGTTACAATTTTATTTGTTCCTATACGTTAACCTGCTCATATATATATATATATATACCCAGCAAAATACAAATAAGTCCAAAATTACTCAAATTACATCAGCTTGTGTTTACCCATATATGTATAATACTATAATAAAATTCACATGTATTTGCCCATATAAGGGCATTTAAATTTTACCTGTGTATAAATAAAAAAATATAATTTTGACATAATTTTTTAATATACCCCAACTTATTTAAATTTTGCTGTACGCCACAACAGATACTGCATCTCCGAGCACATTCTGTGGACTGCCCCACAAATAAAAATACGTCGTTTTATATTTAGGGCGCACACACACACACAGTCAAATAACATTCACAATACAAGCTTTAAACAAGTATTTATTATATAAAATATATACAACGCAAAAAAAACATTCATTTAAAAATGTTCTTCCATAAATTTTACTACTATATTTTTACATATTTCAATCTCAACATTGATAAAGCTTTGTGGTGCAAGCAGTGCATTATATGCACTACGTCTTAACAAGTCAAAATCAGCATCCAAAACATACTTAAAACAAGGTAAACCATTACTATTACAGCTGTCACGGGGCGAAAGTTTGGGTTTGCGTGTTTGTAATTTTAATGACAAAGCGTAGAGCAAATTCCAAATTTGTATCGGTTTGCCAGATTTGCACGCGTGTAAACTGCTAATTTGCTCCTGCGTGCAAACCCTTTGCAAAGGTGGCAATGGCCGCGAAGCCGTAGGTCGCAAAGAATAAAGGCCAACCTTTTGCAAAACAATGAATTTGCAAAAAATTTGCTCGCGTGCAAATTTGATGCCAATCACTGTATTTTGAAAAGATTTGTCCGCATGCAAATTTTGTGCAAATCAAGAAATTTGCAGAAGTTTGGCCGTATGCAAATTTTATGCAAATTATGTATTTGCAATAGATTTGCATCGCGAGCAAATCTGAAGGAAATATGAAGTGTGCAAAAGGTTTGCACTGCCTGCAAATGTGTTGCAAAAATAATTAAATGAAGTTTGCGATGAATTTGCTTATCGTTCTAACAGAGAGAAACATAAAGTTTGCATGTGGATTCGCATATGTGGTGTAAACTTATCGAAAACAAAATATGAGTTTGATGCGCAAATCCGCCGAAACATTAAATTTGAATAAGATTTTTATCACCTGCAAAGTTGAAAGAAATTTAACCTTTTCCCAATGTATTCACTACCTTGAAAGCTTATGCAAGCAAAGTGAAATTTGCAGAATATGAAAATGGCCTTAACCCTTGCATGTTCTGTCGATCCGGAGATGCTTTACAGATAGTTAATTATAACCATAACGAATGGTCGCTAAGGCGCAAAGATCAGAGATCTGTTTACCATTCGACTAAAGTATATACCCACTTTCCAGCATTGGTAAATTGTAAGTTTCTTTTAGATGACAGATACACCACTCAGCGCAATATTTAAAAACTTTGTATATTTTATATGAACCATATATGCATAAAACAATATTTCAACTTGTTCTCAAGACTCGAAACTCTTTTTATAAACTTTAATTTAACAAAAATAAACGAAAAGAACAATAATAAAAGTAATATTTCCCTCATAAAATCTCACGAACAACATTTTTCGAATGACCTTAAAACCCGTTGCCTAGCAACCCCTCATTGGACATAGGTTGCCCAAGTTTACTGTTTCGAAAATGTCAACCATAAAATGTCAACTACGAATTAACTGCAAAAAACAGTTATCTTAACAACATTCCCCCTCCCCGCACTGCGTAGAGGGCGTATCTAAACTAACTGTTCAACTAACACTGTTCCATCAGTTTTCTTGAAACAGCAGTACTAACTTGTGTATTGGTCGAACTAAGGTTCTGTCTCCACACTGAACTTTTGCCACTCGCGTGTGACTGTCTTTACCAGGATACGTCTCGATGATCCGTCCTAGAGGCCATCGACCTCTTGGTAGGTTGTGATCTAACGCAAAAACAACGTAGCCCGTTTTCATGTCGTTCACTATTTCCGTCCACTTCGGACGCTTGTTTAATGTGGGAAGGTATTCTTTCAACCATCTCGTCCACACCTGATTGAGTAGTTGTTGCACTCTTCGCCACCGATTTCGTAAGTTAAAATTGGTGTAGTCAACCGATTCGGGAGCCACTTCTCCACCCACTTGCCCATGTAGGAAATGGTTTGGTTAACGGTGTAACATCTTTAGGGTCTGTCGTCTGATAGGTTAAGGGACGGGAGTTGACCAGACTTTCGGCAGCAGTAAATGCGGTGATCAATTCTTCGTCTCGAATGTCACTGTTTCCTAGGACCGAATAGATAGCACGTTTCGCCGACTTGATCATCGCTTCATGTACTCCTCCGAAATGCGGAGCGGCTGGAGGGTTAAAATGCCACTTTACTTTGTTGAAGAGGTGGTTTGTCTTCTGCTGAATACGGTTTGGGTCTAATTTTCCCACCAAATCTCTCAATTCATTTATGGCTCCCACGAAATTAGTTCCATTATCACTTGTAACTTCGGACGGTACCCCTCGTCGGCTAGTGAATCGAGTGAAAGCATTTAGAAAACTCTCCGTGTCCAGTGCCCAGGCCATTTCCAAATGGATAGCTCTTGTCGCGGGACACGTGAATAAACATAACCATCGCTTTTGACGCTGTCTCCCCCGGCCTTGCAGCGTGATAAAAGGTCCTGCGTAGTCCACAGCGCTCTGGTCGAATGGACGAAAAGTAAATCTAAGACGAACTTTTGGAAGTGGAGCCATTATTTGTGTCGCAAGCTTCATCTTCCTCTTTTTGCACTCGTTACATTCGCTCTCCCAGCTTCGAATTTCTTCCCGTGCTGCTATTGTCCAGAATCTTTGTGACAGTTGAGCCAAAATGAAGTTCACACCCCCTGTGTGATTGGCTCTTTCATGGTAATGTTTAACAATTAGTTTGGTTACGTGGTGACCTCGGGGTAGGATTATGGGGTGCTTTACGTCATACGGAAGGTAATCTGCATATGTTAGTCTGCCATCCATACGAATGATTCCATTCTCATCAATTCGAGGTGATAGCTTAATCAAAGGACTCTTGGGTGAGATTGTTTTGTTGCTCTTTAGGGCTTGGTACTCTTCGGAAAAGATTTCTAATTGTACGTTGCGAATGATATCTTCTTCTGCGTCCGGAATTTCTTCTGGCTGTAGCGCTTTTCCAAATACCCGATTTGTTTTCTTCTGCATGTTGCACAGAACTCGGACGACTCGTGCATAAATGCAAACCAGACGCATCCACGATGAGTACCGATTGGGGCTTAATCTCCATTCGTCTGTAAGACAGTAGGCTTCCTGCTTTCTTTCATTTCGGTTGGGGGGGGGGGGCTTTTGTCAACAACTCTTGGCCACTTGTCTTCATCCTTCAATACCCAGTCAGGACCATTCCACCATAATGACTTCTCTTTGAGGTCTTCAGCGTTTATACCACGTGATATAAGATTCGATGATCCTTACTCAAACAGCGAAAACACAGCTGTTTCTCTTTGGCAAAGTTCCATCGTTGTTCCACCGATCTTTGTTCAAACTGTCGACAAGCCCAAATACCATGATACGGCCCGCTACAGAAGGCACAAGGAGGCTTTTGTTTTGGGCTTTTGTCTTCGTTAAACGCTGAATTGCGTTGATTGTTCGAAGCCATGAAAAAGGAACTTGGATTGCTCCTTCCACCTTTCGTTGGATATTGCTTTCGATTATATCGCGCAGAATCTTCGATTCTATCCCATGGGCCATCTCAATTGCTTCAACTCTAATTGAGACTTCTTCCTTTAACCAGTCTCGTAGACTTAAAACCGATCTGTCTTTACTGTGCTCATTCATCCATCGTGTGTAAATTTCTAACTGGTGTCCTGTCAACTTCTTGACCAACAAACTGTATAGCGTTCCATCACCAAGTTCTCCTACTTTCCCTTCTGCCTGCAACTTAACAACCGTCACTCTTACTAGATCTGCGAACCTTTCGAAACCTTGAACATCAGCTGCTCGTAAGGGGTGCATTCTTTCTAAATCACCCAGGTAGGCACGAAGCTGCCTTCTCTGACCTCCGAATTTTGTATTTAAAATCTCCTTGGCCTCCTTATACTCAGGCCCTGACACACCAATTCCACGGATTCAGTCCAGGGCTATTCCAGTTAACCTTTGGCGAAGTCTTGCCATCTTTAAGCTAGTTGGTTCGTTCGACATATCTACTAGGCTTACGAACAGTCCCCAAAACTCTTCAAACTTTTTCTTGTCTCCGTCAAAGGTTGGCACAGCCAATGGCTTCAGCCGACGGTTAATAACAGTTTCTCCATGTCCACTACTTGTTGTTGTAACATCATGCTGCGGACTAGGGTACCCCGTTGAGGTGGAACTACTGTTCTCGGTAACCGGTTGTTGTAGGTGATCATTACCCCCTAATGTTGCAGGAGCCACTGCCTGGGGCCCCTGGTTTGTGACGTCACCAGCTATGTCGAGTTCACCTTCATCCCCAGTTACGGAAGTGGAAACCCCTTGATTATCTGTGACTTCGGTTTCTGCTTCACCCCCTGTGTTTGGGGCAGTTTTCTGTATGGGTGGACTCAGCACACAGCTTTCTGATGCACATTTAACAATAACAGCCTGCGTCTTTTCAATGACCTTCTGACAATCCCCCTCTAACTCATTCGACTCTTGCATCACCAGCTTATGACTTTCGAAATCTTTCTGTTCCATGAAATATGCAGACATTTCATCCATGATAACTTGTGTATCTTCCAGTATTTGCCACAGTGTCTCTACACGATGTTCCAGTTCCTGTATATCAACCTCCGCCTTTTCAATGATTAACTTCTCAAGATGATGCCTTGCTTTCGTTGTGCTACGTTTACTGGCTCGTTTTCGTCGGTTTAACTCGATTAGAACTAGCTTTTGTTTAACTTCCTCATCCGCTTTAGGCTCCTCTGGTATTTCACTAGGACCCAGTTCTGTGTCCGACATGATAGCAACACTTAAGTTTCAGATACCAACAAATTATGCCAATTATTCAGATGCGTAGTTTTGAATTTTAAATCATCTGATTGGACAATAAAATTAGAAACCATTCAACTGCCATAACTGTCAAACTGAAACTTGCAGTTTTTCACACGCCGCTTGCAAAGAATTGTAATCGCGTGGTACACAAATATGTCCTTTGCAATTGACAAAACTGTCACTGACAAAGCGCCTAAAAAAACGGTCGTTTCGCAGTTTACTGGGAACAATAGTACTAGATATTTTTTTCTCCAAGCTCAAAATGTACAAAAAGGGTAAACAACACTTTGTCCAAATATAGATCAACAATTCCAGTAAAAAACTAGCGAACACAAGTTCCCGCACGCTGAACGTTTGTATAAAATCCGATAACTAACAATATTCTTGCATTAATAAAGAACCCACACTAGCAAATTCAATTCGTTAGTTTATTCCATATTCGTTAATTTATTCGATATTCGTTAATTTATTCGATATTTCAAATTTTCAAAACACGCATAAATTACTCGCAATGTCTCCGATATTTTTCGATCTTTTACGATATTTATCACGAATTAAAACCCACACGCAACCGTATTCAACAATTCAAGATTCTCTTACGTCCCAACCATCGACAATTCCTCACACTTTTGCGAATTAAATCCATCAACGATACGAATACTTCTTGCAAATGCCGCCTGTCAATATTTTTCCAATACTACGAACGAAAGATCACGATTATATCATTATAAAACTCCAATGTCCTGGCAGGATCGCCAAAAATATGCTCTCAAGACTCGAAACTCTTTTTACTAACTTTAATTTAACAAAAATAAACGAAAAGAACTATAACAAAAGTAATATTTCCCTCATATAAAAACCTCACGAACTACGTTTTACGAACGTTCTTCAAACCCGTTGCCAGTCAACCCCTCATTGGGCATAGTTGCCCAAGTTTACTGTTTCGAAAATGTCAACCATAAAATGTCAACTACGAATTAACTGCAAAAAAACAGTTATCTTAACAACAATGTGGTTGTGACGTAATTACCAGAAAGGTCTATTGTCAACTCTGTTCAGCTCAGCAACGCCTTTCACAGGCTTTATGTGAGATTCGTGAGGAATAAATCATACTCAACATAAAAAGTCAATTCAAATTTTTCAAATGTCCATTGGATCCAATGGACCTAGCTTGGACATTGCCATTATCAATATATCCATGATGCCGTTTCCCGGTGGTTACAAAGTCCGGTTTAGTCCAATGGATCCAATTGACAGTCAAATATCCCAATGGATATTCGATATGTCCATTGGATCCATTGGGCATGCACATGTCCAATGGACATTTGAGTTGTCCATTGGATCCAATGCATGGACAGTCATATAATATATCCAATGGACATTTCATAATGCACATGTCCATTGGACATTTGCGTTAGTATTGGACATGTATGAGCCCAGCTCATATGAACATGCTCTAAGCAGTCAGTTTGAAAAAATAGGATCTGGAAAATGAGCAAAGCTAACCAAAAACTTTGTAAGTTGTCAGTATTTTTGGCAACAGAGGTGCGTCAATTGGAAACAATAATTGAATGCCGCTTCCGGCAATTTTGGTGTAAAATATATTAATATTGGTGTAAAATTTTGTCTTTTAAATGCTCAGTCTCTGAACAACAAGTCAGCTCAGTTTACTGACTTTATATGTGAGCACACACCTGACCTTGTCGCACTCACTGAGACATGGCTTACGGATAACGAATCTGCTGTTAAGACGTACCCTATCTACTCCATCAAGCTATACCTCGACCGAAACTCGCCTCAACCACCGAGGAGGTGGTACTGGATTATTATTTAAAGAAAATATTTTGGTTACTTAAATTGCCGGTGGCGAACGACAAGCCTTTGATCGAGTATTCTGAATGGAAAGTTAAATTCACTTCTCAGAGAATTAAGTATGGGGCTACGGTGGCCAAGTGGTTAGCGCACTTGCCTTTCACCTCTGAGGCTGCAGGTTCGAATCTCACTAAGTACCTTCTCAGTGCGACTCGAACCCAGTTCCCATGTGAAAAGAGTAAAAGTCAACGCTCTGCCGAACGCCGTGGGTTTTCCCCGGGTACTCCGGTTTCCTCCCACAGGGAAAAGTTGACAGGGTGGGTTAGGTAAAAAGGGCCCACAGTAATTGGCATATGCTGTTGTGGTGACCCTGCCCTAGTTGGCGAAGCTAATAAAAATAAAAACAATACCAGTCATTATCATCTGTAGACCACCTTACTCTGAAACCCATCCTGTTACCACTTCTGTGTTTTATTCAGAGGTTTCTTAATACTTGGAGTCAGTTGTTTTAAACACCTTGATTGTTGGTGACTTGATTGTTGGTGACTTCAACATTCATGTCGACTGTGATGATAACACTGATGCTATTAAAATACTTGAGCTATTTGAAAGTGTCGGACTTGATCAACATGTACATACTCCTACTCATTGTAGTGGCCATACCCTCGATCTTATTGTCACCCGACAAACTGATCAGATCATCGCTTCATCTCCTAGAGCTGATTGTTTGTTTTCTGAACACATGCCAGTATTCCGTCAATTACAACTGGACAGAGTTCCTCGAATTAACTCAAAACTGAGTCAAAAGTTTCATATTGCAATGTCGCGGCCATAAATTTGGATGCCTTGCGGAAGGATTTGTCTAACTCTATCCTCTGCGAAAGTATGGAATCATTTGAACTAATCATTTCTCAAAACAGTACTAATCAAAGGGAACTGTTTCATGCCGCTAAAATTCTCTTTACACAAATGTCTGATCTTATGTTTCCTGAATATGGGGACCCTGATGTGCTGGCTAATGATATTGGGGAATTTTTTGTCCAGAAGATTGAACGCATCCATGGTGAGTTTGATTCTTCTGCCCTTGAAACAAGCCACTCGTCTGTCGCAGAATTTACTGAACTGACGTCCCGATTTGATTCCTTTGACATCTTAAATGAAGAAAATATCAAAGATTTGAGATCTAAATCAAGTAAAAAATCGTGCTCTCTGGACCCAATGCCCACTTCATTGGTTTTAAAATGTCAAGATATTCTCCTTCCTGTGAATCTGGTGTGTTTTGTGATGAATGGAAGCAAGCATTAGTCCAGCCACGGCTTAAAAAATCAAAAACAGAAACGGTATTTGAGAACCTTCGCCCTATCAGTAATCTCACATTTACATCTAAATTAACAGAACAGCGTCTTTAATCAGTCAAATGACTACTTGAATTTATCCCCGAGCCGGCGGCGCGAAGCGCCGTGCGAGGGTACTAATTCCGCCCGGCTATTTACACCCGGGTATTTGAAAACATAGCGAAGTGCAAAGTTGTCCTCCATTATGTGATGGACGGTCTTCGATGTTATTGCGCATGTACGTGTAATAGCTCGTACTAAAATTCTAAAAATATTGTTTTTCATTTTGCAAAGATGTATTTTGATATTTTACAATATATTTCTGCGATGTATTTCGCTATTTAACTGGAAAAAATCCTGCAGTTTCATGAATTAGTGGCTGTCAACCGTGAAACAAAGTGTGAAAGGCATGCATAAAGTTATAAACTGATAAACACGAATTTTGTCGAAGACGAACCAGATCGATGTTTTTAATATAAAATTTAATCGTTATCTTGACTCTTGGCTATCTTGGGTAAGTGTTATAAACATTTCAGTATAAAAATTTCATACCGTACTTGCTTTGTATTTTCGATTTCATTCATATCGGCGAAATTTTTATGCCATTTGACTCAATAAATAATATATTTTTCTGCAAGCTGGTATTTACATGAAAATGTATAAATGTAGTGATTCTAAATATTGTTTATTTAGGGCAATTAATACAGCGTATAGTGTTTTTATGCGTGTTTATAATGGTCTGTTACCTACAGCAAATATGGCTTCACCAAAGTATAACTCAAAAACTAGCTTTTGCTTATATAAAGCAAATAAATTTTACCGTATTTTCGAGCAAACTACTGACTATACTGTCAACAAAACGAGTGTTTCAGTTTCCCCTGCAGTTCCACGGCAAAGTTTCGAAACGCTTTAATACCGTTACATTCCTTGAATAACAAATTATGAAAATCAACGATTCTTTTTGTAAAAAATTATCTCCTATTATTTTCTCATATTATTTTCATGTTACCATAGCGACTATTACTATTTTGAACATGGAGTACTTCATGTTGAATGGAATTTCTATACCTCATCTGTTAAAAAAGGCGAGGGGTTGCTGCATGCATGTATTTCTAGTACTAACTTTATTCAAAGGCACAATCGGCCTATCGCAAGTATCATAGTACGGAGACGGCCTTACTACGTGAGTACGTGTTGAGTACGTGTTAAGCATGATATCTTAATGAACATGAACCGTCAGCATGTTACCTTACTCGTATTTTTGGATCTGAGCGCTGCATTTGACACTGTCGACCATCATATAATGCTCGAACGACTGAAATCCAGTTTTGGCATCCACGACCAAGTACTAAAATGGTTTACCTCCTATCTTTCTAACCGTTCGCAATTCATCTCTGCAAATGGTGGTACATCTAAGCGTTTTGATCTCAAAAATGGCGTACCTCAAGGATCTTGTCTTGGCCCACTTTTGTTCGTTTTATGCGTTAAGTTTAGAATTGGCACCTGACTATATCTCTGAGCTTGTAACTATCAAACCTTCATCGTCTTACAGTATTAGATCGAATTCGAAACTCGTGCTTCAGAAGACTACCCTCAAAACATTACCGACTCTTGGTGATCGTTCGTTTGGATGTGTAGCGCCTAATTTGTGACCAACATGACGTCATAAATTAGCGGACATATTCACACTCATTTATATATGAAACAAATTAAAACATCTGGGGAACAAATAATAAACTGAAAAATAAGTTTGCACTACAGCTTAAAGAGTTCTTTCATTTAAGAAAATAAGAAATTTCATTTCATATACACTTTAAGAGTTTTTTTAAAACTTCCAATGAAATCAGCTTGCTGGATGCGTGAAGGTAAATCATTCCGCAAGAACAGGTG